ATATATATATATATATATAAAACTCATAAAACTCAACATCAAAGGAAATCCAATTAAAAAATAGGCACAAGACCTGAATAGATATTTCTCCAAAGACAACACAGATGGCCAACAGACACATGAAAAGATACTGAACATCAGTAATCATCAAAGAAATACAAATCAAAACCACAATGAGCTATCACCTCATATCTTTCAGAATGACTATTATCAAAAAGACAACAAATAACAAGTGGTGAGGATGTGAAGAAAAGAGAGCCCTCATGAACTGGTGGTGGGATTGTAAACTGATGCAGCCACTATGGAAAAGTGTGACGATACCTCAAAAAATTAAAAAAAGAGCTGCCATATGACCCAGCAATACCACTTCTGGGTACTTATCTGAAGAAAACAAAAACACTAATTTGAAAAGATGTGCACCCTATGTTTATTTATAATAGCTAAGATATGAAAGCAACCTAAGTGTCCATCAATAGATGAATAAAGAAGAGGTGGTACATACATACAACGGAATATTATTCAGCCATAAAAAAAGAATGAAATCTTACCATTTCTAACAACATAGATGGACCTAGAGAGTATCATGTTAAGTGAAATAAGTCAGAGAAAGACAAATACTGTATCATTTCACTTATACGTGGAATCTAAAAACAAACAAAACAGAAACAAACACAGAAAGAACATACATGGAAGCCGGAGGGGAGGGGAGGGGATGGGCAGAAAAGGGGATTAAGAAGTACAAACTTCCATGTATAAAATAAGTCACAAGATGTAATGTACAGCATAGGGAATAAATTCAATAATATCATAAGTATGTACAGTAACAGATGATTAGGAGACTTATTATGGTGATCACCTGTTAAGGTATATATATAAATGTCGAATCACTATGTTGTACACCTGAAACATAACATTGTATGTCAACTATAATTAGTAATACATTTTTTAAAATTATGCCAGCACGTAATTGCCAAAATTATTCAAAATTGCAATCCAGATGGTCCTTCAGTAGGTGAATGGATAATAAACTGTGCTCCATCCAGACAGGGGAATGTTATTCAGTGATAAAATGAACTGAGCTATCGAGCCATGAAGAGACAG